ATTGTTAATATTTCACAATGAAATGACTATGTGTTCTAAAAATAGAACACAGCAATGATCACAAAAATGAGTGTGATGACGTGGCAAGTAAAAATAGAAATAGAACATGACGTGGCAATACGTCAAATATATTTATAGAAATAGAATTGAATGACGTGGTAACACATCAATGAGGTTAAATAAAACTCAAATGACGTAATCAATACGTGGTTAAAACTCAATGAATTATGGGATAGATAACACAAAAATCTAAAAAATAGTCAGCACAAAATCTAAAAATCTCAAAATGAAAAGTCAGCTGACTCACTGACCAAAATTATAGTAAATTTATAGTAAAAATATTATAAAATATAATAAAAATATATAGTCAGTAAATATATATATATATATATATTTTTTGGGGTGTCAGAGTCAGAATAGACTTAATATTGGCACACCCACTGACTGTTATGGGATATATAACATATAATTATGGGAATAAAAAAGAAACACTAAAAATGTTAGTATGATGAATAACAAATATAAATTAAAACAATAAATAAAATAACAACGTATGGTGTATAACATAAAAGTCAGCGCAACTGAATTATTAGATCGCTGACCCTTGTATATATAGTAATGTCTATGTGGCAGGGTTGAAAATAACGTTCAAAATTTTCAAATGGTGATGAATTAGGGTGAAAAAAAGGTGCAGAAATAAGAAGAAAATGTAACATAGAAACATAAAGAAGCAGAGAAACATAAAAACGAATAAAAAACGAGAGAAAGGTGAGGTATTACAATGGCAATGACAAATTGAAATGACGATTATCAAAAATAGAAACACAGATATTAATAAATTAATAATAATAATATAATAAATAACAACAAATTCAACATAAAACATAACAAAATCTATAAATACAAAACAATAAAATAATAAAGTTGATTTAAAATTAAATTATTTCATATAACAATAATTATGTTCATCGTAATAGAAACGAATTTCATCCAATATTTCTTCCAACATTCCATAATCGACCAACAAATTTCGTACATCATGTAATAAGTATACCAAATATTCAAATAAACAACTATCGAGTTCAAATTCCTTTATAAATGACAATTGATAACTCCAGTAAGCGATAGCATGTAAAATAGATTTACCACCAGCATTTATATTAGTTTTAAGTCGAGCACTTACTTCATTATTCAATCTTTCAATACTTTGCTTAAGACATTCAACTCTTGAGGTAGACATTTCAGCACATCTTTTATTTGATTAAACTGTTCATTAAATATGTATTGCATAGTTGGCAGTGACTGTACAAAGTGTCTGTTCAACAGAACAATTCTAGTTAAATTATAGTTTATTTAATAATAAACATCAATCAAGAAATCAAACATGCACCAGAAGTGTCTGCCGTAGACGTGTAACCATGTATTTAAACGAACTATTTTTCTCTTTCAAACAGGCATTATGAATATTACAATAGAAGACCGTATTGAAGCATGCAAATTGGAAGATTTAAGTGTTCACTCTTTGGCTAGTTATTTCACTGATTTAGACGGAATAGAAGAACTCTGCGAAGACATGAAGGAGTTATATAATAAAGAACAAATCTCCACGCTAGGAGATGAAAAATATCTAAAGATACTAGAGAAGGAAGCAGAACTGGTAGAGGATATAGCAATCACATCTATAAGATTTATAAGAGAGTATAGAGATATTCTAAAAGTAATGAAAAGTTGCTCCAAAGTAAGGCCGAACAATTAAATTAATTAATTATTTTTTATCACTCCAGCAGTTTCATAACTAATTCAGCACTTATAATAAGAATAGTCAGTATTAATAAAATAATAGCAGCAGCAATAGAATAACACAACCTCATTAATAAACGGGGCTGTTTAGGCAATAAATTATTATCAGAAATGGTTTCTGGTTTATTTAACATTACTTAATAAAATGAATAAAAAAAGATGTTCACTAATTAGTTAAATTAATTTTACGTGTTAAATAAAAACTGAAATATATATTATTCACCATAAGCAAATCTTCCTTATGCTTATATACTTCAACTTCAATTGTTCTTCCTCTATCAATTAACCTTTTAAACTGTTCATCTAAATCACTACAATATAAGAATATAAAAACATTAAAATCATACTCTCCCATTAACATCGGATATACAATATCACCAATAATAAATTTCATAATATTTTCGGTCTTAATAACAGCAGTATCAAAATCATAATATTCAATATTTTTATCTCCAAACTTAGGTATTTTATACTTCTCACACAAAACGTCCAATCTTAATTCAATTTTTAACCGTTCATTAACCGAAAGAGTTTGATCATTTTTACAGAATATACTTAAAGCTTCATAAGGGTGCCTTTCCCAAATAATAATTTCAGCGCCCTCAAATTCAAGACAATTAAGCTGATCTTCATAACACTTTAAAACATACATTTGGAATTGATAATTTGTCATCAGTCCTCGTTGTAAACGTTCAAGATATTTAATACCATCAGTGTCGTAATCTATATATTCTCGTATAAAAAGGAATTCATCCCTATTCATAAAAAAACTATGTAATTCTTTCATCAAAGTTGTTTTACCAACAGCTATACTACCACTCAAGAAAATGTGCTGCTTAACAAATTGACAATCTTTGGTTCCAATAGTTAAACCAGAAACATTTTCCACATCAACAGAATTCATAATTTAAATCTTGATAATTTTTTTCTTCTTTAAATTTGTAGTTTTCTAAATATAAAGCAACTTTAACCAAAAATAACTAAAGTTAAAAGTCAATTCAATTATCAGTTTCGTTCTTTTTAGGCTTTTTTTCATTATCCTTCGACTTAATTGGTTTAAGTAAAGCCCTCTTAGAATCGTTTTCAACTTCTTCATTGCGGATAGCATCCAAATCTTCATCATCTTCAGCCATTTTAGCAGAACATCTCCTGATCCAGTCCGGAATACTTGATTGATCAAGAGATTTCTTATTACTTTTCTTAGTAAATTTACGATTCCACACATTAAACGAGTTAAGGCCTATTCCATTCTCGTCAAGATATTTAGAAATTCTTTCGCAGCGACGGATACTTTCCAACTTATATCGCAACAAATCTCTTCTCTCCTCATCGTCTTTAACTTTACCACTAGTGTTAATTTTCCAATCAATATACGATGGCTCTTTCATCGTATAATAAAACTTTTTTAATAAAGAATTAACAACAGGATCGGACTGGGACTCCGTATATACATCGACCAAGTCCATAGCAGCTACATCGGTGTATATATCATCTCTAGGTCTATTAAGGCTTGACATAATAATCAGGTATGTCTGTCTTTTAAAGATCAGCATTTAAATATTCAACTCCACTCAATGATGTAATCAACACGTACGGAAAAACCTCATAAGGGCATATAAATAGAACATCTCTGAGATTAACAATAAACAATGTCTCTAGAAAATTTCCACGCTGAACCGAGTAGAACCGACACGCTACATCTAAAAGAGGCCCTAGAACACAACAAGGCACTCCATTTTACTTCGAAATATTTATATCTAACGCTATGGGGCGACGAAGTAGCCAATCAGACCCAATTTAAAGAAATTATAGATAGACTGGCAGGAGCCACGAACAACGTCCAATACGCTCACATCTCACCTGTTGAGATTGACGAAACGAACTCTAGACCTCATCAACATATGCTGATTGTCACGAAACGTCCCAGATCTTTCAAGGCAAGGCCCATAATTAATCACGCAGATGGGACGAAACAGACCTTTTGGTATACAAGAGTAAATTCGTATACATCCAGAACCGGCGACGTTTCAGCAATAATAAAGTATATTACCAAAAAAGGAGTAGGCATGTTCAAAGGAGACCCATCAAACAAGGAAGATCTAAAACAAACATGGGTCAACGCATTAGCTGACATGGATTCTTACCAGGACTTTAGCGAATTAGAGAAAAATTTACTAGATATCAACGCGGAAAAATACATTCAACAAGAAGGAAAAATTAAAGCGCGTTGGATGAGAAAAAATGCACGAAGATTGGATATCGAGCATTATACCAGGACAGATCTACTTCCATGGAAAGAGGATATGGAAGAAATTCAAACCATACGTAAATGGCTCAAGTGTGCCCAAGGTAATAAATATCGTATGGGCAACTTGTTTATTGTCGGTCCGACCAAGACTGGAAAGACAGAATTCGCTATACAGGAAATATTTTTAAAATATAACACGTTTATGTTGCGTGGCGATTCCTTGTTTGATGCCTATGACGATGAGCAGAACTATAGATTTATTTTATTCGACGATATAAATTACGACAGAAACTTAATTAGATTGATCAAGGCTATTACATCAACTATCAATAAAAAAACAACTGTAAATGTAAAATATTCAAAAGCCATAGTTACGGCAAGACCGTGTATACACTTATTAAACCAAAAAGAATACGAAGGGGTAGTTGAATTAATGAAGTATAACGGGGGTTATAATTGGTGGAAAAGAAATTCGCTAACCGTTTTTATCGATAAGAAATTATATAAAGATCCAATAGAATCTGAAAAAGAATCAGAAGATATGGCGCAACAAGAGGAGAATTATAATGCATTGACAGATTTACAAGATAAATATAATGAAATTAAAGACTTGCCCGAAGAGCAAGAATCAGAAGATCAAATACCCACAGAACACTTACCATTTTATTCAAGAGTTACCAATTTATTAGAGTCTCTGGGTTACGATGAAAACTTCCTAGACGAATTTACAAGTAAGATAAAAGAAGCTAAAAAAGACAAGAGAATGAATAGAGTACTAAATGAATCTCAAGAAAACAACAGTAGCATGGTAGAAGAATGGAACGATGAATTAGAAAACTATCAATTAGACAACCCATTGGGAATGAATAAAGAAGATTTTAATCAGTTTGAAAAGGAAAACATGTCTTCATATGAAAAACAAAGAAGTAAATTCTTTGATAGAAGAATAAGTGAAGACAGTCTAGACAAAGAAGATGAAGATGAAGGGGAATACAGTGCAGACGACTATAACGATCATCAACCATTTGGAGGCAGAGACAATAACATGGATATCATCTACGATTAAAAAATAATTGAATTAATTTATTATATATCTTCTTACTTCTGGTCTTCTTTTATATTTTGGATCATCAGCCGGATTAGACTGTTGTGGTTGAGTAGTAGATGGATCAAATGAAGCACCATCAACTGATTGCATTTTAGGTTTCTTTTCTTTATATTCTATTTGAGGTTGTTTATAAGGATATTCAATTAATTTTTGAGGTTCATATTCATAATCAATTTGTTTTTGTTTTTGTTTATAACCAATTTGAGGTTGTTTATATTCATAACCAATCTGTTTTTGAGTCTGTTTATCTTTAAGCTTTAATTTATCAGTATTATCTTTAAGTAACAAAGGATTAACATCAGTTAAATATTGAGTAGGAACTTGAGTTTCTTCACCAACTGTAACACCGAATTGTCTATTACCAGGAGTAACAATATTTAAATCTTTCAATAAATCTTCATCAACTTCCATAACAACAGCACTCGGTTTATAACCAGGTTTATTCTTCTTAGGTTTAATAAGATCTTTAGCATAATCTTCATTACTCTTAACAGTATTATCAACTTTAGTAATTTGACCATTTTGTTTAGCCTGTTCTTCTTGACTAACTTGATTATAATAATCTTTCTGAGTACGAATATAATATTCTTGTAAATTTTCCTGTATTTTAGGATTACGTAACGCCAGACTCAAAGAACCAGATTGAACACCATTTTCGATTAATAATTGTTGTTGTTTAGAAACATTATCATGTTCAGTCGCAGAATCATATGCATTCATAAAATTAGCAGCATCCTTTTTAAGAAGTTCATATGCCTGTCGCCGATCATTAGAACTAGCAGAAGGATCAGTATATTGTTTTATAACATAATCAACAGTTTCAAAATATCGTTGAGTATAAGCGTTATTTTTATGTACTCTACCTTCATGAGCACCAACTTTCTTTTTCAACTTGTGAAAAAATCTTATTTACTTCATCAAATAATCCACGTTCAGCATTATATTCAAGAAAACGTTGTTGCTTAAAACCAGTAAAAGCTTGAGAAGCAATACGATTCTTACCTATAAAAGCCTGTGCAAAATTTCTATCTTCAACTATTTCAGGTTGAGATACCTGAACTTTATCAGCACGAGTAGCAACAGGAATAACAACTACGACTTTCTGTTTACCTTCTTTGAAATTTTGAGCAGCATTATAACCTCTATTACCTTCACCATAAGCAGTCTGTATATTATTAATATTATTAACCATATTTGATATATCACTATTGGGATTCTGATTATACATTCTAAAACCTCTAGCAACTGCAGCAAATTGTGCATCAAGAGTTCTTATTACCTTAGTACGTTCAGCAGGATCAGAAATACTATAAACATATTTATATAATTCATCTTTATCAATTTTTAAATTTCCACCTACTTTATTACAAATACTTATTATAGGACTCCATCTATCAAAATACACATCGTTAGTTTGTTGTCTAAATACTTCATTTTTAACCTTTTGTTCAACAACCATTGTATTCTGTTTCATATATTCAAAATCTTTATCAAAATGTTGCTGATTATCCTTAGCTTTAACAAGAGACTGTTGATTATATTCCATACGTTCATTTAATGATTGAATATAGTTTAAAATCTGATCCTGTTCACGTTTATATTGATCTGGACTAACCACCTTTAAATTAGTCAAATAAGCAGTAAGATCATAAACAGTTTTTCTAATAATTTGATTCTCATTTTCATATTGCATAATAGCTCTAGCAAGATCATTTTGACCTCTATATAACATTTTATTTTCATTACTTAATTTATCCAATTCAGCATCGGTTTCTCGCTTATTCCTAGCAATAATATTCATCAATTGTGCCATTGTAAGTTGATGAGCATTTAAAATGTTTTCAATACCATCAATACGTTCATTAGTATTCTTAATATTATTTACATAATAACTCAATTCTTGTAAACGATTATCAGTTTGATCAAATTTAGAATTAACATAATTCTGATAAGCACGCATTTCATCTCTAGTAATAAACATATTTTGATTACGATTAAGTTCAATTTGTTGTTGTTCCAATTGTTTTTGTTTATTTTTAAACTTCTTAATTCTCCTATTAGCTTCTTGTTGATCTAAACTACCTTTCTTAACAGCTTCTTTAATATCACGTATTTCATGAGTATTATAATTTATTTGATCTTGAAGTGTTTCTTGATACGTATCATATGTAATAAATTTCTGTCTATAATCATTGAATCGTTTTTCAGTACGTTCAGCATATTCATCTAAATCACTATCAGCAATTTGAGCTTTTAATTTAGCTTCATTAGCAATACGATTAGCATCATTAATTTGTTGTTGTAATGATTTATTAACACCTTGTTGTTGTCTATTACTATCTCTAATTTGTTGTTTCATTTCATCTCTCATTTCTTGTTTAAGTTTATTACGTTCATATTCACTTAATGGTTGTTTGGGCTTAACTTTATCTTTTTCCTCTTCTTCTTCATCATTTTTATAATATCTATCATAAGGTACATAAGGACGTACACCGTAACGATAAAATTGAACTTCATTATCAATAGGTTGTCTATTATATCTAAATTGTGTACGATATCCAGACCAATTAGTATGATATTCTTCATCTTCATCTTCATAAATTCTTCTCTTGTAACCACGTCTCAATTTTTTACGTTTAAAACGATTCCAATGAGGTTGTATAACATCAAAATAACGATTCATTAAAAATAAGTAGATTAAAGATTAGGATTTGACTCAGGCATACCATTATTAGGTAATACAATTCCACCATTACTATATGTTTGATCACCACTATTATATACTGTATCAGGATTAATAGAAGGTTTACTACTATTATCAGCATTTCCAACTACAATATAAGTAGAAGCATCAGCAGCAGAAGGAACAACTAATCCCATATTATTTTTAGCATAACCAATAAATCCAGAATATGGTTTAAATATTTCAGCATTTGGTGTAAGAACTTTTCTCAATCCTCTTAAAGTAACATCAAATTGCCAATGAATAGTTAAAGTACAAGCATTCATAGCAACAACAGCTTGTGGAGCTTTAAGTGAAATAAGTAATTGAGGATTCCATGCACTATACATATTATCTTGTGATAATACTTGTTTTGTATTTGTTGTTGGTAAATACATTGATTTCTCCATCATTGATGCAGCATCCAATTGTCTAATAACACCCCATCTACTTCCATAATACAATGTCTTTTCATTTGCAGATGAATAACTTGATACAACACCATAATCAGGTACTCCAAAATATTTAGTACCATTAACTTCAACTACTTTAATTTTAACACCATTTCTATCCCATGCAGTACAAATAGAAGGGAAAGTGGCACTATTCAATAAACCATTACCAATAAATGTCATTTCAAGTGATGCTCTAACAGCATTAACTTTATATTGATCATACATTCCCATATAATTTTCAAAATATTGAGTAGAAGTAAGAATAGCATTTACATTTCTAATTAATGTAGCTTCACTAGAACCAATAGGTACATTAATATTAACATCTTCTTGTACAGAGATTACTACATTAGTAGAATCTCTTTGTTGCATTGCACTTGCAAAATTACCAAATGCTTGTCTTCTTAAAGTACCTCTTCTTCCTCTTCTTCTCATAGTACGTCTACCTCTCATTCTTCTTGGCATAACCAAATGAAAATAATAGATCAATTAGTTCACATATAACAAAGGCACAGTTTTACCAGATAAAGAATCAACTTTACTAACATAAGTAGAAGAAATGGATGTATTATTATTCGTAAAAACAGCAGCAATATAATCATCAGAAGTAGATCTTCCAATATTAAGTCCACCACCATTAACAGCGAATTTACCAGAATTACTAATAACACCAGTCTTATATTTAATTCCAACAGCAATAGAATAGTTATTTTCATAAGTAGAACCAATAACATCATCAAAGAAATTATTCATATCAAAATCAGAAGAATCACTAGCAACACAATAAGAATAAATTCTAAGAGCATTACTAACACTTCCAATAACAAGAGCATAAACATAATCATTGTTACTATAAGAAGCATTAGTAATAGCATTATTCCAACTCTCATTAAGTTTTCTAATATAAATATCAAAATACATATATTCATTTTCATAATGTCCTTCTCCTGTGAGTGGAATCATTTCATTTAATACACTCGAACCATCAGAAATATACCAATGTAAGAAAGAAAACGATTCAACAATTTCATTCTTAGTTGTTCTCAATTGCTTAAATCTTACAGTAATATATCCCATAACTTTAAGAATATAACTATCATTAATTGTTAAACTAGCATTAGTACTAACTTGATTCAAATAACCAGTCCATTGATTATTATCAATAAAATCAAGTCTGGTACCTCTGATTTCAGTTATTTCAATTTTAACATCAGCTTTTAATATAGCATATAAATCATTAGGAGCTTGTTCAGTTGGTTCAGCACCTTTCTCAAGAACAACCGTATTAGTTTGTTTAACACTTGAAGCAGTATTCCATTCTGATTGATTTTCATCAAAATATTGAACAACACTTAACATACGATTATTTTCATCACCAGTCATACCAGGTAATTGAGCTTTTGCACCATATAATATACAAGGAATAAATCTACCATTCTGTAATTCTGGTTTAAATTCATATAATTTACCACTCATAATTGTTGGAATCGTCATCATCTTCTCACTACTACTAACACCTTGAATATCTAATGATAAATGCATTGGTGCACCTGGCATTTTAGATTGATAAATATAAGAAGAATAAGAAGAAAACTCATCATAAGATGGTTCACTATAATAAGTATTACTTCCAATTACATTTTGATAAAATCCATTAGGAATTGTACGTCTAGCAGCCATTCCATAAATACAAGGAAATGTTATTTCTTGTGTAACAATACTTCCTTGTTCATTAGAAGGTTTATTAATAGCTTTACCATATGAATAATTTGTATTTAAAT